CTCACAGGACCTGGCTGCGGTTACCTATCGTTCTGCGACAATCCTTCCAGTTTTCTTAGCACAAATCTCGCCTTTTTACAACCTGGCCTCATCCATCGAGTCTCTCTCTTCTAATCAAAATGGCCGCATCTCTCGACTTGCAATGGCCTCGACTTCTGACGCTTTTCGACCAACTCTGTTCCCTGGTTCTCGACTGTCAACCACATCGAAATATATCGACGATCTTACGATTCGGCATCATGCACGACTTCTTCAGCGATCAACCTTTTAGATATCCAAGTGGTAGAAAAGGTTGCATCAGCAACAACGATTCATTTCGAACGACTTCCAAAAACGAACAACGGTGCCAAGTGTTTCAGGTACCTTCGGGGTAAGACAATCCGCCTCATTTCTACATTCACCTGGGCCACATTTCGATTGCAGAACATACGGTCTACCTTTCAGAATCCGCGTTGGAAGAAAAGGTTAGCTGAATTATCTTGCTAAGGGAGAAAGAATTCTCAATCCGACCCACACCGACAGCCACGTCCTAATCACGCGAAACCTACGGCCTACGCCAATTCCTTTTACCAAGGGGAAGAGCTGTGGCGAGTAGCAAGCCAGCACGGTTAACGAGCGTGGGGGAACGCGTATCAATCGATTTTCGTGAATGCACTTCATGCAACTACGTGCGTTCAGAGATCGATGCTTACCGAAGCCGTATAATCGCACTCGTTATCCTGTGCACACACACACATCGTCAATAAATTTGTTGAGCTGCGCGCCATCTGCATTTTTTGCTCTTCTTTCGGTCGGGCCATGTCAGTGCATATCGCCGTCTCCAAAAAACCGCACCAGAGCCCGCTACATTCTGTTTGTTGAATTGTGCTTTTTAGAACTGGACTTTAGTTGGCTTTAATTTTATAATCGATTAACCTAAAAACCACAGAGTCCCAATAAGTTCGGATGGTTGGACGAATTGTTGGTCTTAAGATGAACTTCGCCCAATACGTGGTACAGCCTTGCCCAACAACTTCCATTAAAATCCCGATTTGCGCCTGTTTGATCCCTGTGGTTAGATCTGCTACGTGAGAGTGAAGTTCAGCGAGCATATCATGAGACCACATCATGACATCATGGGTTGCCCCAATGGACTAACGGGTCACACAATAGATATCATGAATATGTAATTTTAAGCACAGAGAGCACCAATACCTTCAAAGGGTCCATATTCTAGCAAGTGACGTTGAAATGGAAATTGACAGCTCATAGAGGAATACCACTTGGTCCTAATGAGATGAAAGAATACATCCATCCTATGATAAATACAGGTTTCTGCATACGTTTCTGTGCGATACTGGAATCTTCTATCAGGGAAATTACCTCAGCAAAATTAATTTTACGAAAGATTATTTATTTTATACATTGTCCCTGATTCAAGTACGCAATAATGCATTAAATAAGGATCTGAAAAGGTTTCTTTTCCGCCAATATTTCTTCCTAAGTATTTTCATTGCCACATCCTCAACTCATAGGAATTCAGAAAAACTTTTTCATATTATCCTGAAACCGAAACACGCATATAAGAAGCGTTGCAACTGAATCTCATTTTAAGTGAGATAGTTGATTGCTATTAAATTGGTTCTAATGCTATGTTGAATATACTTCTCAGAATAGTTAAGACGGAAGTGTTCTAAAGTTATAGAGTGGTAATTGAGCTTTTTTTGAAATATACCCTATATATGTTGAATAAAGTGAATGAGATGGGGAAGTATGTAGTCGACGTAGCTGTTGGTGTTAAAAGCTTCAGTCAGTATATGAACACGCACAAGTTGCGTTTTTCCCGAGCCTCAATGTGGGAAGCGCGCAACCTCGTGTAGAGGGTCATTTCGTCTTTCCGTTTCTCATCATTAGCCCCTCGAGTTTCGGAGGGCTAGAAAACCAACCAAGTATGTCGCATAAAACTTGGCAAAAATCTACCTTCATTTTCCACCCTCAAGTATTTGATAATAAAATATATTTTAATGAAAATCAGTTTTCCCTGCAGTTTAATTTGTGAGTAACTAGGCTTGTTTATGTTCCCCATTCTCTCCACTTTGATCGATCGGCCAGTTATCTTATCGCGAATTGTATGATGTTGATGTGTTAAGAAGTCCAGCAGCAAAATCTTTAAGGCATAATACGTAATGCAAAAGTTCTCCAAGTTACGAAGAGATGTTGAATTCACGAAGCCAAGTTATGCAGACCCCAAAAATGGCATTCACGTTTCGCACAGCAATTTAAAGCGCTGGAGGCTCAGTCATCATCGCTTACGCCCAGATGTCGTAAGGGGAAGGCAAAGGAGCCAACGAGGCAGCACCCAATGTATCCATTTGGCCTGGGACCTTACGCTTCAGTGAGCATGCAGCTTTAGTGGCGTGCCAGTCCCCTCTATCTACAGTCCCTCCCCCCTACATCATCGTGTAAACGTGCCTTTTGTTAAAAGCGCCCATATCAGTAACAAAATGGACAAAGTGTTGTGCTCGGAAGGCGCCAAGGAGCTTATCTTTGCCCGTGTTTCCCAGAATATTTGGATAATGTGGCCAAGGGGCTTAGGTTTGTATTGTTGTAGTGATGAAAACAAGCCGTTTCAGGAAAACCTTTATCTAACTTCCTCTACCTTTCAAAGGTTGTTCAAAACAATGCAATTGTAAAAAATTTAGAAGCACTAATTTCATTCTAAATTGCAAAAAAACACAATGTACCGAAAGTAGAAGTACAGGCAGAAACTAAAATCATTTGTGATAATCGCAGTCACATGCTGTTTTCGTGAGGTTTCTTTTCATGTAGGCCTTAGCAAAGGAAAAGCAATTAAATTTCTCAACTACATTTCTGGAAACGCCCAAAAATGGAAAGGGGATTCTGAATCAAATCCAGCAATCTGTTCACCTATTAACACAGTCAATGCTGCAAAATATTAAACTGAAATTAACATAAAATTCTGTGTCGTCGAAAACGAACCAGTGCGAGATTCACTAAGCATGAGAAGGTTTACCATTACATATTCAATGGTAATTCATCCACTTTTCCAGACTCGAATTCGTAGACAGACCGTCTTTACCAAACATAGGATTTGTATAAACGGATACGCACTTAGAACGGTTAACTAAATTGTCATCTGCATCGAATCATAACCTAGGCTCAATCAAGGATGACTAAGTGAAAGCGCAAACTGTAAGAGCGCCTAAAGAGCAGTGAAATTCTTTCGTACACGAGAATTTTATAGCACCAAAATTTGCAGTAAAATTGCAACATTTTTGTAAAATTAAGAAGGAAAGTCCTCGTTCGAGTCAGCTTTAAATTATGGTAGTTGAAAAATCACAGGGACATGAATTAAAATGACTACTGAGGAATGACTATGAGCGATTGATTCTTCGGAATCAAATATGAATTTCCAAGCTGTAAGGGCGGCGACATAGGATTGTAAACAAAGCGGCGGAAAAACAACCAAATCCACTAGACTAAACCCAAATGTACGTTTCCGTGTTAACGCCAGCATAGGCCCATTAGAGCATGGAAATATTTTAATACGCAGACTGACATTTTTCTATTCAAATAAATCACTTGATCCAGACCGCACAGCTGTTGCAGTTGCTGAAAATTTGATAATACACCGATCGAAGACGGCGTCAAAGGAGCGGAGGCAAGCTTCAAGCTCGATAATTGCACTATCTACCCTCGAAAGCACGACCTCAGGAATCTAATGATATGTGAGCCAGAATAAATCCCATACACCTGTGATTTCTTGTAACAACAATCATTAATTTGTATTATACGTTCGATCAGATGTGATGGGGAGCTCCTTAAGTCGCAATACTCTTACCCACTTAACGCTAATGTCTACTGGCCTTCCCTAAAATGTGCGAGTATTCCCTCATAACTGATGACGGACTATACAACACAAATTTCAAATAGGAAAATGTTGTCTCCAATCTAACAGTTCATATATCGAATGGCCTCATCATCAAGATCACGGACAGCCACTGTTTGACGCAGTAACCATATTACACTTCTCCACACTGTAAGCGTTCGCAACAGCATGTTTCCGGACTAGTGGACATTACTAGCTGAGATGACGTGGCAAAGTGGGTTGGACTGAAATCGGCAAAACCGTGAAACATACGATGGCTCCTTGTTCGAAGTACAAAATGATGGCATTTTGAGAACAGTTGTTCACCTTACTTAACCAGTGACTATTTGATTTCGTCAACAGGTTTGGGTAATCAGCAACTCCATGTGTGGAATCTCATACACTAAACCGACGGAACAGCTTTCACTCGACGGCCACTATTAATTAAAACAAGCCCATTTGCTTGAGTGAATGCGATCATACGCTTTACCCGACATCCTTCTAACAACTGCCCTCTGAATAAAGCATTTTGTAACTTTAACTGGAATATTGATCACAAATATTTTGTTACTAGCATAAAATTATGGCTATACTTTGCAGGCCCTCTAAAATTACAAAAAGCCAAACATGTGCGTTTGGGCTAATTCACACCAAACTTACTTGCTCCACAAACACTCACCGCAAGGTATTCGCTTAGTCATTGAAATGTTTTGTCGTAGGCTGTAGACATCAGAAGCTAGCTTCCCAGACGGCTTTGTAACTGGACTTAAAATGAATTTTGTAGGCGAATCTTTTGTTATTTTCAACACAAAACTGTGCACTAGGATTACATGTTTGTGAGCTGACGATTCGTCTTCCTCTAGGCAATTATCACCTTGCCCTCAGGCAATACCTTTGATTGACCCAAAAGTTTGGTTTACTACGCCAAACACTTCACTCATCACCAAATTATTACAACGTTAATCGAAATTTCATCATAAATAAACACAAAACAGTAAACGTTTGGATGAAATTAGCGAAAAAAGAAACAATAAACAGTACTTATCTCTTGGTATATATTTACAAGCATGTCGACGCGAAAGCGTAAGCAGAATGACAGCTTAAATGCACAAATGTTTACTAAGCAGTGTTGTCATTTGCCGAAGTCAGCACCCTCACTTCGTGCCCTCAAAATCTGGACGTGCATTGGCGAGGTCTGCTTTTTGGGTGATATTCTGTAGATGTTCCGACGATGCGCATAAAGCTTCAGCCTTGGCTTATTCACAGAACGATACCGATCGATGCTTGCAACTCTTGTCCTGAGAGCAGTTTCGCGAGTTACTTGAGCTCTATCTGTGGATTCTAGCATCAGACAACGGTAGAGATTCACACCAACCAACACAAAACAGAGCACCATTGGTCCAACAAACGCCCCTTCAATCCCGAAGTAGTACAAACCCCCAGCTATGGAGAGACCAGTAAGATAAGGATGGCCGGCTCTGAAACAGATCGATAAAAAGCACATAAATGATTTGATAGTCAAGAGCCCGAATTGACGATATCGGTCATAAGATATACTTTATTAATTTGGGAATGGAATTTAAAGCAACTACACCACAAGTGATGAGAAGAAGTCAAACGAGAACACATAACCATGAAGGCATGAGTTCATTCCAGTTAAAATGGATTGGAGAGTTTTTAGTGTTAATTAACTAGCGTTTGGTACTTCTGAACAGAAAGCGGCCAGCCGTATATAAGTACCACTGGTAAGGTTGAAAAACTCACACAATGAATCCGTGATTACTCAAAGCCGTAGACAATGTCTGGCTGACCGCAATAATTAAACACAAATTTAGGTTAGCGCTTGCAACATGCAGATATGGTGCACGATGACGACGTAGATGCGTTGCAACACACAAGCCTGGAATAAGGGGTCAGACGACTAAGATTTAAACTTAGTCATAATTTGAGGAAACTCTGAACATCGGAACTTGTCCAAAAAATATTGGTGCTTTATAAAAATCGTTTGCATAAAGATGACCACTCCTTCGCTAAACCACCCAGATATTTTAGCCAAATTCAAAGTTAATTTGTCCACCACACCTCCTCAAAAGGGATGGATTGCCAAAATGATCAATTCCAGCAAAATGGTTACTTTCTGGATGTTATCTCAGATAAAACTTTGGGACATCGACTGACAGTGTGGATAGTGGCACATGAAGTAACACAAGCAGAAAAAGAATTGGGCCCTAGTGCAAGGCCGCACGAGTTACGAGAGAAGAGCAATGTAAGTAGACGAGGGCCGATCCGAGACTCAAACCAATCTCGTGACAAATAACCACGTTGACACGGCACGATATAAGAAGAGGGAGGAGGCAAAACCAGTAAAGGCTCTATGCTTTTTCACTTACAGCCGGTAGCTGAGTTTTGCGTGCCAGTGAATATACTTCAAATGGAACTCGCGACTGACAGTCAGATCCGGGAACGCAAACTGGACATACTTTAAGGTAAACAAAACCAATTTCTCGTGCATAGTAAGAAGATTCCGGAACTAACGAGAGAACACGTAGACCATTGGTCTGAAGCTCATTATTGTGATAAAAGTGACATACACATTAACTGAAGACGCCCGGCCCGAAAACAAGCAATGTCCAACAATGAAGAGCACCACAATGCTCAGTAGGATAGGAAATGCCTGCACTGACACGAGTAGGGAAAGATGGAATCCTGGGAAAGTGTTCGTGGGCCGATATTTGGAAGATCGTACCACTAGTTTCGTAGGTAGTTTGCAGTGTAATTACCCAATAAAAATGGCTTAGTTAAGATGAACACAAGCCTCTGTTCATCAGACACCTCACCGCTCTTGCACATTCCACGCTGCAATCTTGTGGAAATGGATTAACTCAGACTGTCATTACACTGGGGGCTCATGAGGGTTAGAAGAACTAGAAGCCCTTTGCACAGGGGCTCAAGGAGTGGCCCGATACGTTGCCTTCAACGAGGCGATATTGGATTTTCCATTAGGAAGTTATTTTTTTCCTTTTCCGATTACTTTTTCGACTAAAGTGAGAAGTGGGTTGCTCGAAGGAATCAAGGTGGATAAGACAGATCGCGTCAACAACCCTACCACCTTAGTCGTCGTTAACACTCGCAATGCCGAAAAACAAAGCAGGTGGTGAGACAACAACACGCCCGGGTGGACACACTGGCCTAATCGCACACCAACGAAGTGTGCCATTGTGGCGCGTGTGTGGGCGCGTTTGCGGGGCCAATGGACTGGAGGGTGGCGTCAAAGCGCAACTCCGAATAAGGTGGTTGGACAATCTGCTGTTGGTTAGCTTTGGGCTTGGGCTTGGAGGTCAGCACTCTGTGCACTGACAACCCCAAACGAAGCCAAACAGATCTGCGTGATATATGGCATAGGAATTAGTGTTGTACGAGTCGCGAATTAAATAAGTGAATTAAAAACGGCGTTAAAGCCTAAATACAGCAGCAATAATCGCAAAGGAACAGATGTGTTTGGTCGAGACCTATAACTGTCTGGTAATATAAATAATTTGGTTTTGGACCACATTAAACAACAAACTAACACAGAACCATCAAATATTAGACATTTCTATACAACGCGACATACTTAGCAGAACAACTTTTGTCCATGAGTTTGAAGCTGCATGAACGTTTAAAAACCCCAATATGTCGTTTTATTTTCGGAGGCTGAACATGATCTTTACAACCACTGCACAACTGGCAGTGTTCTCAGTAAGCTTTTAAAATCCCATGAGCAGTAGAAAGTCTTCTCTGTATGAGCACTATTATTATTATTAATAGATTGTCAACAGCATCATTTCAGTTTTCATAACATTATGTGTAGTTTAAAGAAATGCTGAGGAAATAAAAGTGTACGATTCGGATATTTGACTTCAATTCAACATCAATTTATGCTTAGGCTCTCATTCACTAGTTGCCATACGTACGCAACTGTTGCAAGTTAACACCCGAAAAGGAAGATAAAAGATACATTTTGTCATGTTTTGTTATATGAGTTTAAAAAGGGAACGACAGAACTGCGACAAAAACATTCACGAAGTATATTTGGATCGTACTCCTTCTGCTTGGATAGTCAAAAGCGCTTTAGCCGATTTCAAAACACCAGCTTTTATTAATTCGATAATCTTTGCTCCGGGAGGCCTTGCGAGACTGATAAAGATTTTATCGTGATTTTGTCAATAAACCCCATGGATCACTACTGAAGCGATTACTGGGAGGGTAACCGTCGATAATTCGACTGCATTTCATTACTAAAAGCAACTTGCATAAGCATCACAATTTCATATTTAAGTCTCGCATGTTTTGACGGAACGGAACAATCCGGCCCGTGTTTCCGCAGCTAATGCTTTCCTCGACTTCCAACAAAACGAATCTTTCTTGAATTAAATCATAACCATAGATGAAAACAGTTTCGTTTGTGACATCTCATTTGTAAAACGTTTGAAAACGATTATAGGAAGTGATATGGAGTACATTATTTATTACCAAATACTACGTTTCGCGAAATCGCATTGAATTTAATTTGTATCAGTTGCAAATCACGCACGAACTTTTGCAATAGCTCAAAATAACACAATTCTGCACAGATGTTGACAAAACGCGACACATCCTAGCCACTCCCGATTCCTGGTGTTTATTCCATGACGGTTATTTCACTCGATTTCTCTGATAAACACGACCGAGTTTGGAAATTGGAGAAAGTCACAAAGATCTCAACTCACTCCAATATCCACCCGAAAATCAAGACAACACGGCCACATATGCCAAATTTCGCAACACCTTTAACACCAAAAAGAATCCAATACTTAACATGAATTGTCAACACTTTGTAAAAGCCAACTTCAGACCACATGCAAGACACACGCATATGGGTTGTTCAGTGGCCCGTCGTCAGACAACTTACTGGAACCTCACAAAAACTATTACATATTCTGTGAACCCAAATCAACTTTGCAGTTTAGAAATTGTTAAAAGAAAAAAGTAATTATTTAAGTTCGAAGTTTGTGAATGCCAACAAAAACCATCTCGAAAACCAAAATAGACAGGGTGTTAAACGGAGTCACGCTGCCACAAATAACGACTTGCAGTTGTGAGCACCGATCAGACTAACCTCCATCGCAATTACTATACCAGCCCTACACTCCAACGGGAATAATCGACCTGTGGTTGTTGGCCTGGCGTCTCGATCCAGTTTTCACTGCTGATGGGTGCTTTCTAGGCCACACGCTCTAGGCATACGTTGAGTGTTTGTCAAATGTCAGACAGCATCTTAGATTTAAATTCACAATAAAATCCATTGGTAAACAACACATGAAATTTGGGATATTTGGATTAGGGAAAGGATAGTCTAATAAATTTAGAAGAGTATGTTGTGAATAGTGTTTATTCAACATCTTAATCCGATCGCTTCGCCTCCGATACAAGGCTCCCCTTCTCGCAGCATGGCGACAGCCGCGCAAATCCTCAACCCCCCTTTCATTCACACGTATATGTATCTTGGATTAACCTCACACCTAGATCTCGATGTTAGCGCATCTATGACTCACGCATCCGAGGTATAAATACACACGCACAAACCCCACACAACGACACCGATTCTGGTTGAGCTCTGAAGTAAACGGTTGTGTCCCGTCTGCTCCGGTCTTCTTCTTCATCGCGGGCATCAGGCAAGCGTAATCGGGCCAGGGTTAATTCCGTGGCTCCGGCATGGTTCAAGACCACATGCTGGGGCCCACAACAAGTATTTTCCCCAACTTATGGCCTACAAGCAGCAGTAGTCCAAAGAATGTGGGTTTACAGACATTGCATATAAACCTTGGGGACAAAATTTTTAAAGGTAATTAATCCAAAGCCAAAAGATTAGTGTGAATAAATTTTTATGTATAGCATGTTTTCGTGTTTGTGACGCGTTCGGTCCGGCAACACCAGATTTAACAGGAGTTAGAACGCAGCCACGTGGTGAATGAAACGTGAAACTCTGGCATCATTACGGCGAAAAAAAATAATGCAAAACCCCTTATAGAGGTCTCGATTAGGAAAGAGCGAGAAGGTCAAAGTCGTTAGAGGCCTGATGACTATTCACTCACAGCTGGTCGTTGGTTTTTACGCGGGACACTGTCAGTGCACACACAGTGACCCAAATGAAACCGATTCGTTAGAAATTAAACTGCCATCAAATAACCGAAATCAAGAACACCTCCCTCATATCTAGTAATAATATTCAGAAACTCTTTTGAGCACATCATACGTAAGCATACTGACAGCTGATACCATCTTAGGACTTGAATATATGACATGCATGAACTACAGATTAGATTTAACCTACACACTCCTAAGGTTTTTTCTCCTTAATTGCCCATTTGAAAAAGAACACACCGTTTCCCTGAACTACAATTTTCTTAGTGATGGAGCCAACAGGGCAGAAATCACGCGTGGTTTGGGATTAAGCAAAAAAGCTAGTAGACTGCTTCGCTACTCCTACTACTGTTATGGAATATCGCGTGCAGTGCTGTCGTGTCAATTAGAGCTGAAGAGGGGATGGTGGGGAATGAGCGAGTTAGGGTTTATTTTGTCCAGTTCTTCAGTGACAAAATGGATTTTTAGCTCTTACCTATCCACCCACAGTACTTTGCACGACTGTAAATTACTTTGCCTTTACTTACGTGCTATTTCAGCTTGCGTTAGTGGTGATAACGCCGAGCTTGAGATTTACTTGAGACCAAAAAAGGATTTTTTTTCCTTTACTATCTGGCAGACCAACCAGTTATTCTAAATGTTTCAAGTAACAGGCTTCCGCACAGACAAAAAGTTGGTCCCTCAAACTGTAAGAATTCATGATTGGCCTTACAAGTTCATTTTACTCTTTACATACATCACACTATGTCAAAACGCTACACGAATAGAAACTTCGCCATGCATGACTTTGCTTTATTTAATTCCAATGTGACATTCATTTAAATTCTGAAAAAGAAAGTACTATCCAAATAAAACAAAACAATCACTTCGATTACTGACACCCTCGAAATTCCGATCTTCAATTGAAATCCACCAAGTAAATGAAGCAAAATTAAGGCTTAAACGAAACATTAGCTTTGTGTGATTAGCCTACCTTTACGTTGTGAGATTGTAGTTTCTGGGGTTCCAAGAAATGATCAAAAGAGACACTGGGCACAAAATAATAACGAAAACAGTTGAGCAAATGACATAACATAGCCTCGACATAACATTCTCGGCGTCAAGGTAGGCCAAAAGAGGGGCGGGTCAACTACATACTTGGCGGGAAATATTTGCACATAGTAAATCGTGTTGATTTACGTCCACCCGCTCTGTCGCAGAATTCTACGTCTCATTGCCCCCTTCGCACAGCGAGCCCGTCAGTCACGAGGGCAAGTCAACTCATAAATCCCTGTGTATGTATCACCCCCAACTACCCGTTTTACTCATCTGACCATTCAGACACTTGTTTTTACCAGTTCACCCAAACGCCATGGTTCAACAACCACGCTGGTTGTGCACTAACTTGAATACACGCACCCGACAAAATTAGGCTTAGCTGTCTAGTAGACAATCGTGTCTCCGCAATCTTTGGTCTCCTTGTCATCTCGGGTATCCGTGTCGTGTAAACGGGCCAATTCAACACAGAGGCCCCGGCGTCGTTTGAGACCACGTGCAGGGGACTTTAAAAAGCAGGCCAACTTTTTCATGTTTTTAGAACTTATCTAAGATTACACTTTGTGCATTTCCTGTCACCGCACCTATCGTCGTTAATATTTCGGGATTTGTTAATATATTGCCCCCCTTGATTGGCAGACTTTATTTAAATTCATGCAAACGCATCTATCACGAAATCAGTGCATAAAAGTCTACATTATTCGCATTTCCGTTTCGGGACTTCGATTCCACATCATTACCTATAAGGGAGCCCTGTGAAGTACTTCACTGCAGCCATGTTCTTACCACCCGTAGGATCAAGAAGGGAATGGTGGTGATAGGCCTTGGTCTATTTTCAACACAAGGGTGATGGATCTCGTGATGATTAAAGCAAAAATAACCCACATGTTAGGTAACTTTTGACTTGAAGTCAACTCAATTTAAGACTAATTAACTCATGGCCAATAAATTAAGTTTCGGAGCCGTATGAGCCTCGAATACGAACACAAACAGATGGTCATGCATTAACGACGAAAAATGCCGATGTGATAACCTACAGCCTAGATGCAAACGTTTCATGGTAATTATGACGCGTGCGCAAACATTTCTTTGTGTCAACAGACTGAGAAACATGTCAACTCACCGGATGGAAAATAACGAGAAATAATAGTGACTAATAAATATATATGAATTAAAGACTCTCCTCATAGCGATCTTTGTCCAACCAACCAGCTCTCGTTCTTATTGTGGTAGCCATTTTAATTTTTAAGGATCGACACGGCAAAGGTCTTGCGTACTCCGAGATATCCGAGGCCACAAAAATGGATATTCTAATACTCCAATTCACCCCATAATTGTACTGAAGAGCCTGGAGATGCCTAATAGTATGGATGACGTTATGCTTTCACTTTAGAAGCTTATTAAAAAACAGGCTTACTATATCGTTTCTTAAAACGACACACGTGAATAGCTGTCGAAACGGCCGCGCTAAAATGATCAGATCTCACAAAGAAGATAGCAGGAAGAGTACAGCGGGTCGCAAGGGTCTGATTGATTTTACGAGAAACGTAAACTTGGTAGAAGCATGTTTGCTGCCTTGACAACTGCTGAAAGGCGAGCACTGCTCTTTAATTCAGAAAATTAAGTGGTAACATTACGTAACGAGAAGAAATAGATTTTTAAGCAGAACCATCAGGTTTGTTACGAACGGAGGTGGATCATACAATTCTCCGGTAAGTTTTTTTAAACAAAAAGCAGGTTGTAGTCAATTGGGGGAATAGTGGAGGACTTCAAAGAATACGTCGCTTAGAAAACCATACATAAGCGCATTGACCATTCTACATGACGCGAATGCTCTTGTACTCCTACGAGGAGGGGCAGGTGAGCATCAACCTCGCTCAGTCTGGCAGCAATAAAACATGAAAATGCTCAAAAATAATAAATTAAAGGAGAGCAAAAAGACGGACAAGACACTGAGAGGGGACAGGCCTTCGTTTGATATACGTTTATTTTAGATTTTCTACTACATCATCACTCGCCATTTCTCTGTTTGAATACAGAGAAGAATTAAAACGACATCAAAGGAATTTAGAATCTATGCAGATTTTTGCAAAGCTTGGCATAAGAGTACCAAGTAAATATGTGAAACCAAGGCAAGTCAACGATGGTATCTCGACAGTCCCGACAGCAGGACACATTCGTGACTTTCGCGCACCGGTTGAGGTCAGAAACAACGACAGATCAATGACACCTTGCGATTAACGTTCGAGCCTTATTAAACACACTGCGTGCGCAACTGTAGTCAGGCTGTAATAATCATTTAATTTCACACGAATTTTGTTATTTCCTTAGAATTTTAGCTACCTTATGGGGTTTTGTGAGACTTAATGCTTGCACGTCGGTGTTCACTGAAACCTTCCGCTAATTGTCTCCGAAATAGCACATCTCCGAATGACGCTTGGTGTAAACAATTGAATTACCGTCTTTGACACAAGACCGATACTTGGGATCTCATCAGCCAACTAGGGCTCTTCTTTTGTCTTCCATGTCAAATGTGCGGGTTGAAATCAAACAATGACAATCAAATAGTTCTATGGAAGGGGAGCATAGGTTTCTAAAAGTCCCCCAGTTCACTCATGCCATTAGGCGGCCCATTAATCTATGAATGATCCAGGATCTAGAGTAATACTACATTTAATTACTGGATGTAACGTGACAGCAGCTGTTTCCATCCGGCTATAAAACATTCGCTTAATGCAACCCACGTATTGAGTGCAATGAAATTCGCAGAAATGTGAAAAAAGTTTTCCCATTTACAATCCCTTTGAACGGAGGCCTGCAGGCTGGATTAACACCCCTAACATGGAAACCTCACTCCAAGAGGGCAAGTAGCCTTAAACCAATTACTCCCACCGATACACTTTGCTACAACCTCCTCACCACCCTCTATTCATACACATAATTTGAGTACTGCTAATGCGCTGGTAAAGTGTAGAAGTTTCATAATTTTGAACATTTGCATTCGTTTTAACAATTGCTTGCGAGGTTACAACGGTTGCCGACAAGAATCAGGGCTTCTCTTGACATCGACATTTCAGTTAGCCTCGGCTCTTCTATTATGGGGGGGGGGGGTTCAAAGCTAACATTTTTATTTGACCCGTAATGCGTAGTCAACCACACAGAAGAAGGAAGAGTTTCGTGCTTTCAATCCAAATTGGGTAATTTGAGCTACCAATTTCTCGCCCAAGTGATCAAAGCTGTGTAAGAGTGGTCTTTTAATGTAAAAGATGGCAATAAATGATTTAATTACACACAAGAAGTATACACCTAACGAAAACAACCAAGCCCTGCATTATGCATCGCTCAGATGTGGAGAAAGCAGTATGGTCGGAGATATCACAGACTTTTAATTAAATGTTTTTACAAGTGGGAGGAAAATTTACTTTAAAACACTCTAAATTCCTTGAAATGATGAAAATTGTAATAATTTTATGTAACGAGAAAATGGGGCTGTCTAAGTTCAACCTTTTTGCTTGTGAAAACAATAAAAAATCAGTCCAATTTAATCCTGTGCCAATAGGGTCGCGAAATACCAAGTAAACGACAAAAACAAGCTACGGAAACACTGTACAGGCATTTAAATGACAAGAAACTGATCTGAGACTAATTGTGAAGGCGAAATCAAGCGAACTGTGTAAGTTAGAAAAGTGGAAAGACGTGAAAACTTATATAATCTTATGTATTGTAGTGCACACAAAAACCCAAGACTTATGGATTATAAAAACTTACCCCTTTATTTCACTGTAGAGAGCTGTGTCCATGAAGGAATAGGGAAGGATGTGGAGAATCAGCAGAAGGAAAGCTAGCCAATAGGAACCACGAAGACATAAAAGTTCCACTACACCTGGAAGTACTGCCCAGTACGTTCCCACCAAGGGGATCGCGCCAAGAATTGTCGCGATTACTAAAAACGTAGAGAACAAAATGAGATCACAGCAGGTCGCCCAAATGTTGCAGCATTAGGCTACAAAGCATGGTGTCGGATTTTAAAGTGAGTCCCTTGTAGTGGTGCGGCGCTGATATGAACGAGGGTTCCATACTCCTCGAAGTTCAACACCTAAACTCTCCTTTTCGGGGAGGGGAGCATAAAATCTTCTGCAGCTGATCCAGACTATTTGTGAAAATGGGTAGGTTGGACAGACTGAATTAGGTTTTACCGAATGTAGTTGAGCCAAATGGACAACCATCTAGAATGGTTTTGAAACATTCATAGCTCTGGTAAGATGAAAGGCTATTCGAGCTAACGAGCTCAATACTCAATCACTTTTCTACAGGCTGTAGAATCTATCATTTTTGCTTACCATAAAACACTGTTTCTTTACTATTTTTTTTGTCCAGAAACTGGAGAGGAATATTCCGCCATTAAAGGAAAATAGATAGGGAGGTACTTAAAATCTTCAATTTCACACTATCAACTCTGTGGCAATCAGCTGACCTACGTGAGGCCTGTTCAATATATTTTGCAAATGTTCTGACCCGACGTGGTCGAATGTTCCTGAGTTCAAATACTTGACTTCCGTCAACACCTCAAGTGGCGATTTCCATTTAATGATTTGAATGTCTAGGATTCCTGCATTACCAGACACCTCGTCAAACAACCTGACAACCCCTTATCGCCGCAGTAAGCGGTTGAGCCTGGCGACGTCTACAGCCTTCTCCCCGTTTTCTGGTAGGACGATGTCGTTATAGGCGATCGGCCTTGGAGTGGTTTGAGAACCACATCAGTCTTTACAATGGAGGCCGTGACCCTGAATTCGTTGGGCCTTCAAAGAGCTAACAGACGACGGTCTTGAGAGACGGCCTAGGAAGCGCTCTAATCCCGTACACTGCTCTTCACGTCAATCAAAATGCATTAGGCGAACCCCCTTGCAGATTCCTTGTCGGGGGCACTGTTCGATGACAAAGAACTGCTCGAGTTTTGGACATTCTCAGTGTCCTCTACCCTTTTTTTCCCAACATTAGCACCAAACATGCAAGATAACTCAATGTGGTGGCTAGAGTTTCAGTACTACCTTACAACACCCTAGCTAACAACCCGTAACTACCCGAGAAGAGGGAAGAGACAGAGAACACGACCGTTTACGAGTGTCAAACCAGCCAAGTGGCTTTGTGTGCGATGAGTACACGTGCGTAATAGGCGACAGAGACCAATAACAAAAGGGGTGAGTCATTGGTCCACTCGAGCCCTCATGCACGCATCACTCACGCGAGGTGGCTGTCAGTCCACTACATCATATACCTCAGAATAATTTAATTTGATTTTGTAAAGGCGTAAGACAAAGATTTTAGCACACCCAGTTCTTTGGTCGTTCCAACTCCCCAGAATAGCTTAATTAGAGATAAGTTGATGCTTTTACCCATGATTAATTACTAAGAAAAAGTTCAGTTGACACGAAAACCACTACACATTCTGTTAGATAACGATGCATTTTATTCCTGCTGTGCATTAAAATGTTTTTATAGTGTAGTTGCCCTTTAGTAATACATCCTTGTTGCCGCAGATAGGAAATACACGCAGCAGAAGTAAGCAACCCTGAGGAATGCCTGGAACCAAAAGAAGCACTAATTCGTCTCATCCAAATGCAAATAATTATCATTTAACCAAGTCTTTTGCAATCTCATGAGAACTAACAATGCGATGAAGAAGTATGGCTGGAGGTGGTAGGTCGTGCCATAAAAACACGGGTCATTTTACGCGCTACAGCCTTCTAAAGATCCATAAAATAGGAAATAAAACTGTAGGATAATGTCCGACCGCTGATCACCAAACCCTAATCTTTCATTGGTCACGTAAAACCGTGTGAATAGGTATCCATTCAATCACATAGTCAGACAAATCCGCTCAACTTTAGTGCACAAACAGTATGCATTGGATCCATGCGCATCATATTTGAATTATAAAGGAACATGATTTCATAAACAAAAAAGTTGTGTGAATGTGATTAGAAAAATGTATATATTAGATTCATAACTTGTGACACCCGAAATAAACTACTTATGTAGGAATAACGAAGCTCTCACAAATTCAAAGTACTTTGCGTTGATAATATATATTTATAAAAAAGATTGTTTTAAACTTTCCAAGTCGACCATAAATGTGATTCCCCTTAATATGTTAGACGGTTCTTTGAATCATGTAGATACGAAATCAATTAGGTAAGCGGTCCTCACAGAAAATCTACTCAAACAGCTCTGTCAGTTCAAGCGTATTTTATTACGATAAATTATTTTACGCTCTCTGAGCAGCCACTTCTCAACTGCCACGACATCTGCCGCCGAACAATGATTAAAGGAAGTCAGCAAGTTAACGTGACGATGCATTATCAGTAATATTACAGAGGCACAGATAATGTTGTATCAGTTGTTCTCCCTTGTTCGCACAACGACGCAGTCAATACCATTGGCGATTGCTTACCAACCCCGAAACCCACATCAATTAGCCAAAAATACCTCTCTGAAATGATCGCTGGTCAACTATCTGCCAGTGAAAACCGATTCGTAAGTACATACGCGACTGACCCTTCAGTGAAACTGGAAATAAACACAGACTTCTCTAATCCTCTTTGATAACATGAGTGGCACGAGTACTCGACTGTGCATGGTCATGAACTATAAATACGCCTGACCAAACACGATACACTGCAATAGCTAAGCCAGCGTAAGTGGCCATTGAGACACCGTTGTCTTTTGTCTCCTAATTCTTCCCTAGGTAGTCCGTGTTTTATCGTGCTGCACCACATGTATTTTAACCTGAGCAGTTTGATCTGGTGTGGATATGACACGAGGGGCGTTTGGCTGAGTTAGTTAGCCGAATAAAAGGTAGAAAAGACTCGGGCTTCATTATCCAAATAGCGACCAATGCATAGTTTTTTTGAAAGCGCGTGTTGACGGTTATGAATACCAAAGAGATGGCTTTGAGCACCAGCCGCAATTTCATACATTGGTAAGTCAAAAGATTTGCGTTAACATTGTGTAGGATACTAGGAACATTAGGAGTTAAAAACAAGCACTTAGAATACAATGGTTAAAAAACATTCTGCCTGAGCTACCGTCTTCCTATGACGGTTTCAATGTGTGCTCAAAAGAAAGCTGTCGAAAAACCGACCTCAAATTTCAAACCCGGTTTAAATTAAAAATAAGTAAACTAACCAAACCTTAGTATAAGGATTAGGATTAATCGACTGGTCTCGATGGTTAGTTACGATAGGGCTACGCGTTTCCCCGAAAATAAAACGAACTTTATCGCAATCACGATGCCCTTCATGGATTGTAACAGGAATTCTAACCACGGCCCACAGATGATCAGTCCCTCGAATTAAGAGTAACTACATATAGTGGCATGTGTAACAAAAGTGTGCTGTTAAATAAGTACTGACGAAAACGCGTTATATAGTACGTCAAAAGGAGACAAGTAATCACCTAGTTTTTTTAGTATTTTCGTTAAGCAAACACTGAGGTGTCGATGATTTTACTGACGTGCACTCAAAAATGTGGACCGTGCCTGTAATATGGCCACAGACAATTAAGGGTAAGCAGTCTTAAGGAGCAAGTTCAGAAAAAATGCATTGTGGCGTTGGTTAGACAAAATTACAGGCCAGATGAAGTTTGACACGTCAATCTTACCGAGGTTGCTTCACTTCTGTTACAACCAGTGAACGAATTAAGTGGGAAAAATACGTGTGACAATTGTAACATAGGAAAGTCTACACTACATCTGGTCGCAAATTGCATCTTGAAGTGCGATACTGCATTTGCTAATCGAAGTCGAATGACAACCAAACCCGTAGTGGTGGATTCCTACAGAAGTGATGGCAACACTGCAGGACCACGAGTGACATGCAACAGCAATTGCTTGCATTAGTTAAACAATTAAAAGGTGTGAAAAATTTGTGCAGGATGCACACGTGTTCAACACTCCGTGGTTAAAGAAAGCTATTTGCATCACTTTCACACCCCATAAAGGCCAATTCTTCGTTCATAAATGCATAAATACATGAATTCATAAATGCACTTACTGGAAGGTATCACAACAGCATCCAGTCCAAATAGTGTATGAATAAGAAGCGTGTACATCCCATAAAACACGGTGCGTTTTAGGGTCGTCACGACAACACTAGTGACGGCGGCTTCGGCGGAGGTGTAGAAAGAGAGGACGGCGGGACTCGCATCGCCTGACTGTGGCGTGAGGGAGGCGATGAACTCGACCGGCAGGTAAGTTGAATCGCTGGCCGCAAGGAGGTAAAACAGTGTCGACAGGAAGATGAGCTATAGTTTGAGAGTCACAGATAATAGAGCAACGTTATTCACTGATACAACTTGTCACATTAATGCAGAATTTCAAACGTTGAGATGTTAACTTGCGAAAACGTCTACAACGAGTGTGACGGCCAAATGCTGCGCAACGCGACCAGTCCCGGGAGATAAGCACATCGTTGGTCTGTCTAAGTTGCAAAACATCCCGACCACCGATTGAAAGGCAATCTTGGGTTGAAGAACCTCCGAATTATGAGCAAAACGATAAAAACTACAAGCTAGTTTTTAATCTAGATCCACTCGAAGACTCGACTACACAGTAAAAAAGACTTCTTGGAACTAATTTCTAACGTTCGTGAAGTGATTTGTTAGACACAATTACGTAAACTAAAGTGAGAACACTGAAGAATCCACGTAGTAAAGCTTTGCCTATTGAAAATCCTAGAGAACGAGGTAGAGCAAAGGGAAATTTTATTTTATGTCAAAGAACCAAGAGAAATAAATACACGACGCAGTGTTATAGTAAGAGTACACAATCTGGCTAGCCTTACGAGGGCAGTAGCAGCAGATACACCTAAACTACGCGCTCACATAGGGAAGCAAAGGGTAACCACTTAATGTGATTAGGGATTAAGTGTGTTTACCATCCTGGGCTATGAGACCATTCTGAGGTAAAGGGGAAACGGTTGATTCAAACACGTGTAACTCATAAATAACAGGAAATTGTCAGCATTGAACGAGAACGTACGAAAGAGAATGTGAAGTTTAGAACCACCGATCCACCAGCGCATAGAAGAGAGGCAGTCCCCATAAGAGAAGTGGTGATAAAGCCAGCATGGTAACTAACGACTCTCCATACGGGGTCGATCACGTTTATGATGGTCCCAATGTTCTTATGAAAGTAGGCTACTACCTGTAAAGACAAAAGCATGCGAACATTTTCGGGATTAAGACATCTCGACAACCCCTGAAAACAACGAAAGCTCCGTTGTTATTTTTGCTAATTGCATAGGTATGAGAAGCCAACATAAATGTCGTGATTCACTTAAAAGAGCAGTCGTTATCGATGGCTTTTATAATTCGAAAACCCAACGACTAGATACACTATCAACTGGGTAGGATAAAAGGCCACATAACCAGAGTCACCAGCCCCAGCCCTCAAGATGTTGTGTTACAAAGTAAAAAATTGGATAACCTAATGGTAAAAAATTATTTTCCAATCTATTAAAAGTAGCTGCGCATGGAAGGATCGACTGTCAGGGTTAAGTATTCGAAGAAAATCTTTGAAAAGCCACGACAAGAATCAAAAGCTAGTGCTTTTGTTTCCAAAATAAAATATTTACCTCCACCTGATATTGTTTTGTCTTAGTGAGTCCAAAGGATTACGTAATAATTGAGCAAGAGATGATGCCTCAAATGATCAGAATACGCATAGACAAAAGTCAAAACATGGTCAAATGTGAAAGAAAGCTTCCGTGTTGCCCGTAAATTACCCAGACATTGTGCATCATCCCCGCGGTGTGAACTGAAAGGTGTTAGTTGATAGAAAAAAAGATTTGTCCTAATGAACAATTTTGCTTCTTTTAAGGTAATTGATTCTGAGTAGGTAAGGCAATTCAGTCAGTGGAGCGTTGCGTAGGGTGACCAGAAGTGACAGTAGCGAGGCAGGGTTACTACGCGTCGCTCTCCCTCGCTTAGTCAATCTCTGTGTGAAGGCATGCATTTTTTATAACTTTACGGGCAAGAAGGAAGGGATGGAAAATAAAGAACTTTCGGAACTTAATTCACGGGGAAAATTAGCCTTGATGAAAATAAAGTTCTTCGAGTAAAACAAAAAATGTAAATACATTAACAAAAATATGTAAACACACTAAACAAATACCAACAAAGAGTTTGATGGCGAAAGTCACACCCTTTTAGCCGTCGAGCAAGAAATGAGATAGCACAATGGAGTAAGCATAACACAAAAACGCCAGTAAATTCACTTCTCACTCAAGAGAACCCATGTGACCATGGTAGAATATTTATAGACGTGAAACTAGTGAAATATAGCCTTTAAATGAATGACATCGTCTTAGAATTTTTTAGCTTGATTTTCGCAAGAAAATACACAGAAATTTCGACAAAGTGAAAACCTAGGTCACAAATTTTCTTCCTTCGCCACTACTTAAAGACAGACATTTTGAAAATGCACAGGGCTGTCAACACAAAAAAAGTTTTAAAAATAAAAAGAATAACCACAATAATGCGTCCGTGATCGTGAAGTTAGTCCATTCACCAGCCAAAAACCAATGAGGCTATCATCGGCAGTAGTGACTAAAATGGCCTGCCAAACATAAACTCATCATCAGTGGAACTATAAAGCAGTGCAAGGTCATAAGCTTCACCCTAAGTGCTGTCTTACTGATGACAGCACGATGAAGATGCGTACATCGTGCTTCCTCCTTTGCCAACCACATGGTCACGTTTGATTATGATTTATTCACATACCCTGTGGGATGGTTTACGATAAGCCACTGAATGCGTCCACCGTTTTTAAAATTACGAATTGGAACAGCTTCCCAAGTTTAGACAGACTGTCCCACAGCCTCAGCTACAAAATTAGTTAATTGAACACTTGCCGTAATTATCCTACATGTCGAAGCCCAAAAATTCGGGAATAGCATTGGTGCATAGATAATCAAGGCGAAAAAGCCGGCAGTCCCAGAACACGAATGCGGCACGAAAAGACGCCACCGATTAAGGTCCGGGTCAGGCACAAAAAAGAATTGTGAGGGATTACCGGCGATTTAATTGTTGGTTAGATTATTTCTCTTTCGCCTAGATCTCTGTGGAGTACAATTTAGCATTTCACCTATGTTATTCCCCATGATATCCATTACTCACACGCAAATACCCATGCACAACATAACAGACAATTGAGCACGAAGATGTGCCCACCTAGTTGTAATGCCTTTTCACCACGCTCTCAACAAGCTGATGAAATTGGTGAAATTCACCACAGGTACTAGTTGAATTTGCAGTGAACATCTACCCATTAGGATTCATTTCTGCATAACTAACAGGTTGGCAGGGGGCTGAAATTTCGTGACGAACCAACTCGTCGTAAAAGTCTTGGTGCGAGGCGTCACCAAAACAACATGAAGACTAACACTCTTTTGAACAAACTATCGAAAAAAAGCGAGCATCAAAATTATTGTGACCACCTTAAACACAAGAACTCAGAAAAGGTTTTGTGCCTAGCACAAATTTGTTTCTCGTGGGTCACGAAAAAAGGACTTCCGAATTCGGCGGAACTACCTAACACGAGTGTTGGGGCAGCGAGTCAAATACCGTCATAATCATTGGATGATTGGCCGTGGTTATGTGAAAAACGCCAAATGCATTAAATGTAGAACAATTTACATCTTCTACGATGATTAATGATGTTAGCTGTAATTTATCCAGCCAAATGTAAAATGAATGCATGCAGGTGAATCGCTTAGGCCAACACAAAAAGAATCAGACTACTTAAAAAGAAAACATCTGAAACGCGATATATGATAGGCGTTTTGTGTGTTTGCATGCAGTTAAAAAAACCAAGTGCTTTTAAACCCACCAAACTACTCCAACGGATTACTGCAAATATTTTTTTTGTAAAGCAATCATGAAACACCGAACCGATTTTACACAAGAAAAGGTAACATGAGTGCCAATTGACGAGCTCTAACCACACCCTTGAAGGCAGGTGCTGCAAAGCATGACATACGTCGCGATAATCAAAGCCTCCAAACGAAGAAGCGAACATGCGGAGACGTCCAAACAAATTGAACAGAGAAGCGTCGATGCTTTTGTTAAAGCCATGTGTAGAAGCATCGAAGAAGACAAACGTAGATTTTGCGGCTTGCCTATGGGCCACATTTTCCGTGGCATTTGGCTGTAGTAAGAAAACCACGTTAATTTCAGCCAATAAAACCTAATAGAATGAAAGCATGAAACACACTTCGACGAAAAAGTGCATGTAAACACGATCCCAAAGATCCAATAGATGGTGTTCGAAATCCGTTTTCGCTAAGTTGCCCTCGAATAACAGGTCGACCTACAAAGTAAGAAACAGAATAATATCACAAACGACGCTACTAAAAGAAAAGAGTAGGATGATAATTTCACCATCTATCGAAATGTAATCTGGGATCGTGACGCCCATCCCTAACACAGAACTCCTGAAATAACCACGTCACGCGTGTTGACGAGAATATTTTCCACAGTACTAAAGGAATAGCAAGGATCGTAACTATAATGACATAATTTGCACAAGACTATGGCAATAGGTGACCATGACAGGAATTTATATAAGAAAGCAATTCATGAAATCTTAAGCGACAGTTTTTCAAAAGCGACAAAAAAGAAATGCAAAAATTGAGCCAACACGACTGCTGAATAAAAAAAACCGGAGAAACAAATTCCCACCGCAATTCTCACCATCGCAAATCTCCTTCTGATTCAGTTAACAAATAAAGCGTTGAACGGAGCACGTGACTGCCCAAGATTCGGTCTTAAAATAGCGACAGGAATATTCGACATAGCAAAGACCTTCGCTGTTCTAATAATATGATCCTGTCACGAAAAGTCGACATTCGAAAACATTAACTCCAAACCATCTAAGTAAAATTGAGGA